GCTTTTTATAGCATCTATCATAGTAATCCGTAAACAATTTTGAATTTGATTATTTTTGGATACCAAGTTATTTTTAGAACTATTTCAAACTATTCAACTCTTTTGCTCATTTTTTAATGATCTATAGGTCATAATTTTATTACTTTTTTTTTGTGACATGTGGAAATGATGGACAAATGTCTTGGCCTCGTAATTGTCGCCACACCATGAAAACTACTACCCGGATCCCTCTAGCCACAATCTGGGTCCTAGACATGGTCGCTCCTCCAATTGCACTCATCGTCATGCCAGTCTCGCACCACCTCATCCCTACATGATAGTTTTACCCAACACTGTGAGCTTGGTCCCGGGTGAAGCCACCTCCATGGTCTAATTGGATGTAGCAACCTTGGGGGTTCCTCCGTGTTCATACCCCACACTTCCTGGTTCCCACCGGCCTCGCACCCCATTCCTCAAATTCCTCAGAGATTATGGGTCCATGACTGTATCTCGCTAATTCCGCCAGTCATGTACAAAATTGCTTCCGTCATGCACACTGTGTCCCTTAGGACTCTTACCCCTCCGGGTGACAATTGATACAGGGACACCGTTGCTACTTCTCATATAACATCCACTCTAGGTACTCGCACGTCGGATCTTAATTCATCCACTCCGTAGGAATTATGGGTCCACGACCGTATCGAAAATAATCATTAAATTCCCATTTTGGGTCATGGAAACTTTACCTTTTGCCCCACCTCAGACTGCTCTTAATGTATATCATGTTTCACACACACCCAAACCATGTGAACAATTTAGTTTTTATCTACAAATTTACCACTGACAACAATGTCTCTGCTGAATTTGATCCCTTTGATTTTTCTGTGAAGGATCTCCACACAAGAATACCTATCATGTGGTGTAATAGCTCAAGCGATTTGAATCTTGTGGGTCCATCCGCCACCTCATCACCGCCATCAGCACTTCCGCTCCTTGTTGTGATTGGCGACACCTGGCATAAACGACTCTGTCACCCGGGAGATCCCATTTTTAGCAAGCGTAGAACAAATAAAGTTATTCATTGTAATTTAATTTGTTCAACTCAATGTATTTCCAATCAACTTGGTAAACATAATAAATTACCATTTCATCATTATATTTTACGTCTACCACACCCCTTTCCTTTGACGTAATACATATTGACATTTAGACTTCCCCTGTCTTTAGTTCACTTGAGCACCATTATTGTGTTTTACTTTTAGATGATTATACTAAATTCCTTTGGGTCTATCCTGTTAAACTGAAGTCCCAAACCCTATCCACATTTGTTCACTTTCATCATTATTTACACACCGAATTTGAGCGCCCCATTTAAATATTTCAATGTAACAACAGAAAAGAATTTGATAATTCCTTATTCCACTACCATGATGCCATTCATCGCATGCACTTTTCGTTTTTCTTGCCCTTACACATTTCTCAGAATGGTAAGACAAAACATACTATATGCTCCATTAATAATATTGCTCGCACCTTATTGATTCATGCTTATATTCAATTCCCCCCATTTTCTGGCCTCACGCCGTACAAATGGCCACCTATATCTACAACATACTTCTCTTACAATCCTTATCCTATGTGTCACCTACCGAAATGCTCTGTAATAATAAACGCTCGTGCTACACTAACTTACGAGTTTTTTTATGTTTATGTTTCCCCCATGTCCCACCACATATCATACACAAATTTCAACCTCATTCAACACATCACATATTTCTTGATTTCCCATCCAATCACAAAGGCCACAAATGTTTTGACCCCAACACCAACAAAATAATATCTCGTCGTGTAACTTTTGATGAATTCCGATACCCCTTTCATACCACCACAAATCTCAATCCATCCACTTATAATATGTTTGACGATTCATGTCATCCATATTATACCATACTTCCCGCGTCCAACACCCTCGTCCTCTCTCCATTCACCCCATTCGTTCTACTCTCCCGATTTATCTCCTCCTTCACCCTCACCTCACGCTCCCATAATACCCAATGCACCTGAGCCCATCCCTCACCACCCCATGATCACTTGGATCCGTGTAGGCATCTTAAAGACAAAACCCATATTTAATCTCCTCACCACCCAAAATACTTCCCAGTCGTCACCACTACCTAGTTCTTCCCTCGCAGCCCTTCATGAACCCAACCGGAAAGCGACAATGAGTGGCGAATTTATAGCACTTATTAAGAATACTACATGGGAGTTGGTTCCTCGTCCATCTAATGTCAATATTATTCGTTTCATGTGGCTTTTTAAACATCAATATGTCTGGTGGATTTTTTTAACAACGCACTAGCTTTCAACAACCCGATACTGATTTTGGAGGATGCTTCCATCCCATTGGTCAAACCTGCCACTATACAAACAATTCTCAGTTTGGATCTCCATCATTCTCGACCTCTATATCAACTTGACGTCAAATATGCATTTTTGCATGTCACTTTTAATGAAACGATCTACATGCACCAATCCCCCGGATTTAAAGGTTCTTCTCATCCTACCTATGTATGTCGGCTCCTCAAGTCATTATATGGGTTCAAATAAGCCCCCGAGCATGGAATCACCATTTTCCCTCCTTTGTTATCACTTTCACACAAAGTAAGTGAGATCACTCCTTATTTACTGACTTGCGTGACTCGGCCGCTGAGTATATGTTCTTGTACGTGGACGATATCATCCTCAATGCCTCCACAGGGACCACAGATGACCTTCAGAACTTCATCATCTCCACTCTCAGTTATGAGTTTGCTATGACCGACCTTGGTCTTTTGACACATTTCCTTGGAATCTCTGTTACACGTTACCTGGCATTCTGGCGGTTTGTTTTTATCCCAGGCCACTTATGCTAAGGAAATACTTTCACGAGCTGACATGGGCTCTTGAAAACCTATTGCTACACTTGTTGATTCTTCGGCCAAAAGTAGAGCCATCGACGAACCTCGGGTTAACGATCTTACTCTCTACAGTCACCTTGCAAGAGCTCTACAAATATGTCACCTTCACCAGCCCCAAAAATTCTTATATTGTTCAATAAATATATCTTTACATGCATGATCTCTGGGTCCCACATTTTCATGCACTCAAACGTATTATGTGGTATATACATTGCCATTGCATGACCATGCAACGTATGTCAGGTCTTGCATTCCCACGCAAACTTATGTTGTGCTTATCCAGAGGCGACCTTATCTCTCCATTTACTATTCAATTTTGTCGTTGTATGTAGTAGATAGTTTAGATAGAGTTTATCACGAAAAGTGTCACTCAACTATTTATGGAATAACAATAAGAGTACTTATACGGGGAAGTAACCTACAGTAATAACATAGCAATAACAGCAGCAACAGCAACAACAATAATATAAGTAATAAATAATGTCTGAACTTTTCTTATAATACAAGTAATAAATCATGTCTGAACTTTTCTTATCTAATCTGAATCTTACTGATCTAGTCTAAATCTTTCTGATCTAATCTAGTCTGAATCTTTATGGTCTGCAATATACATTTTACATATTTACTTGAATTATAATATGGATTTTAAAATTTTAATTTGAATGTATGAATAAAATAAAATCAATAAATATATGAAACCGAACTAAACTAAACCAACTCATTTTCACTTTGGTAATTTGAACTTGAAATCGAACTGAATCGAACCACCCCTAATCCGAATCAAAATCAAACAGAAACACGAATGATTTTAATTTGGTACTATGGATGTTTTTACTTGGACTGTTTTCAGTCCCAGACCAGACCAGACGTGAAAAGTTATAAAATACACAGAGACCGAACATTTACCAGACCGGACCAGTTTAGACAAGACAAGAAATTTTTTGTCCAAGTAAACCAAATAAATTAAAAACAAATCAAAATAGATAAAAATCGAACCGTAATTTGTATTATCCACTCCAAGCACGGAGTAAAGTTTCGTTTTAAGGCTACTATCCTACTTGCGCAAATTATACCGTGGCATCGGTATACCCTGCACAGGTATACATCTGATAGTCTCTTTTGGAATTACATCTTCTTATGCACGAGTTAGATCTTCTTGTGTGTGAGTTACACTTTTTTATGCGTCCATTATATTTGGACTTGCCTCAACAAGTTACATTTTAGATACACCTAAGTTAAATTTTCCATCAATGCGAGTTACATTTTTCATAACACGAGTTACATCACAAAATAAATCCATGCTATCGAAACCATTTTTTTTTTGCAAAATAGTGATTTTTTGTGCAAAAAAATTGGTAATTCTTTTTTTATTTAAATCATTTTTATGACCTTAATATTAAAAACAAAACACATTCATTATTTACGTAAATTAATTGTACAATTAAACTCCTTGTTTACATTTGATATTATAAGAAGTTCATCTGTTTAAGCGTGAGCTACATGTTAATGTAAGCGATTTACACCACTAAATAAACTCCTGCTAATGATAAAATATGATTTTTTTAACTCCATCATTTTTGTAGCCTTAATATTAAAAATAAAACATATTCATTATTTGCAAAAAGTAATTGGGTAATTAGGATCAATTTTTCATTTTTTAAATTGAATCAATGTTTTTTATATTTCATTTTAGACAACTTATATTTCAATTTGACTCAAGTTACATTTTTATCAACGTGAGTTACATTTCTTTAAACACAAGTCACACCACCTGCAACTGAAACACACAAAAAAAGATATTCATCCATGTATACTGTTCATGAGTGTTTTAACCCTCAGAGCATGATGCTCATAGTAGGCTGGTACCACGGTATACAAACGGCCTAATAGGCACCAGCTACCGTAATTGTGTGCCCAACTAAGGGCTGTCATGGCCCATGGGGGCAGTAAAGGCGGGGTTCAGAGAATCGTAGGCCCAAAATCTTGTAAAAGAATTTTAGGCACATTAGTTAGGCCCAAACGAAAAATTGAAATTTAAAGGTGGGACCAGTCGTAGGATTGGTTGGGAGCTTCTGTCTGTATTTATATTTTCGACGGACCATGCGGGGTCGGGGCGACGCCACTTCCGAGAGAAATTCCGGTGAGACGATCGAGTGATCGAGAAGACGGAGGAGAAATTATGATTCCAATTTTTTGATTTGATTGCTTCAATTTTGGTTTAATGCTTTAAGCTTTGCTTTAATAGATGAAGAACCATATCCTCACGGCTCCTTATAGCACACGGCTTCTCTCCACAGGTGATGCAACCCATTAACAACAGTCACCGATGACCTATTTTACTCTTTACGTATTTTAAATTGTTATATAGAATCATATCTGTTGAATTCATGTGTCCTATGATCATAACTGTTTTTTTATTATTTATTAAATTTTGTTGTCTTATGACTTGCTAGTTTTTTTTAGTGTAAATTTTGTTGTGTATGTATTGTGTTCGGTTAAAATTTATAAACTTTGTAAATTTGACATATGGAATTATGAAAGACTTTACATTATTGCAATTCTTTGAAATATTTTTATTATGTGTATTAGTTTAAAGAGAAATGTTTTTTTACAGTTTTCTAGAATAAGCCCAATATAGATGATCATCCCCAAGGACTAGAAATAGACAGGTCAGGCCCTGCAATCAACAATTACGGTTTTTATTTTGGTACTTGTCACACCATGTTGCCAAAAATAGTATTTTTAAATAGATTACTTCATGCTAATGGTGTAATGTCATTCTATTTGTTGTTTTAGGCACTTTTGATAGCCTCTATCTTAGTGCATAATTTCAGATTTCACTGTTTATGAATACTCTTCTTTGTTATGAAACAACAGTCAGTTCATGCATTTTTCGACACGATTTTCACCATGGGTCATCCGGAAACGGTCTCTTTGTGCTTTAGTACAGGGGTAAGGCTGCGTATATCCGACCCCCCTTACCCCACCATAGGTGAGAGCCTTTGTGGCACTGGGGTAATGATAATTATGATGATGACTGTTTATGGCTACTTGTTTTTAGGTCACTAGCGACCCTAGTTGCACTATGAGACGTTACGGTTTTTATTATAATAATTGTCTCATACAATGTTGCTAAATATGTTGTCTTCATTTTTTTTACAAAGAAATGATAATAATGATATACAATTTCAGAGTAAATCCATGGCTAATTCTGAAATCAAGGTTGGTGTTTTGATTCAGTTCCAGATTTATTTAGAAATTTAGAATTGCCTTAAATGAGTATGGAGTTTGTAGGTTATCATGCACTCATGCTCAGTTTCTAGACCATGGAGAACTAAAGCTTTTATCATTACTCTTTTTTTGGTAAGCTATAATGGGTATTCTGTTTGGCTAATAATCTTTTTTTCCTGAAGACACTCCAGGAGATTGAAGGGGGAAACTATGGAAGTGTCAGGCATTTCTAAGAATATTAGGAAAGGATGGATTGATCCAGACTCTAAAGAAGATGACTATGAGCCTAATGTTGTGAGAGCCACGCACAGACGTTCTCGGGGAAGTATTAAAAAATTAGTGAATATAGCCACTGTGATGAACAAGTGTGAAGGTTCATTCTGCAGAAGTGCCTCATCATCTCCTAGCATTCATTCAGATCCTTCTTATTATGAGGAACAAAGTGAGGAGGAGGAGGAGGATGTGGAACAAGCGTACAATCCAGAATGTTCATCAAGAAAGAGTGTGTTAAGTCGAAATAATAATAATAATAATAATAATAAAGCTCATAATAAGATAAGCTCACAGAAGCATGAGTTTTCTCCCTGCAAGAAACAGTTAAGAAGGAAGCCTGCTGAAAAGAGAATAAGATACGAAGAGCAAAAAGAGCTGGGGAATGGTACGAAGTCAGATGCACAGTTGCATCAAAAGAGAAGCACTTCAAAGAGGAAAATGAAATTTATGATGGACGAGGCAGAGGACGGAAGTGAAGAGGAATGGGGAAGAATCAAAACCCCGCGACCATCATTTGTTATTGAAAGAACTCAGAAAACTCATGAATTTGAAAGTTCACCTACTAACAGAAGGTCATTAAAGCGTGCTGCTGCATCATACAGAAAATATAATCTTGATCATGATTTTTATGTTGGTGAGTGGGATGATGAAGATGATGATGTTGATTATGATGAAGATTTGGCCCCAATAACAAAGACAACTCAGGTTAGTAATAGTGGTTTACAACATGAGGTGGTTGCCATTGAAAGGGATGATTCTAATGCTTGTGACACAAGAAAAAAGAAAGATTCTAGGCAGTTCTCCTCTAGTTCTTCATCTTCATCGTCTTCCTTATCTTGTTTGACAGTATCAAAGCGTGACAAGAAGGTAATAATTATATCTTCCATTTTGTTAATCCCATTTTATGTGCCATAAACTTCAGTTTTATATAAGAAGTTTATGTGATATTTAAAGCTAATAATCTCTTGTTTCAGATTGATCATCAGGCAAGAAGGATTGTACCGTCAGCAATGTGCCATCAATGTCAAAGGAGAGATAGAAGAGTCGTTATTGCATGCAGCAAGTGCAAACAAAATCTATACTGCATTCGGTGCATCAAGCAGTGGTGAACTCCTAACCATATGCATTCCCTCTTTTCTTTCTCTTTGACATTGTTCTTCAAAAGTAATTAAATAGTACTCCCTCCGTCCCCCTTATATTGTCACGTTTTACCTTATCGGGATGCCCCCGTAAAATTGTTTCATACCATATTTGGTAAAGTTTGTGTGGTTCTAATTTCTAAATCAGTCTTACTTTATTCTTACTTTATCAATTAATATCAACCACACAAACCCATTTTTCTTAATAATCGTGCCACCCTCTTCCGTCCCAATATAAAAGGGACGAAGGTAGTACCATGTTTTAAAAAGTTAGAATCCTTTCTTTTTGAACTGATCCTAGCCCATGATTATATTTTAGGGCTGCCCTTAGTTAATTAAACATCTTCCTGCACTTTTCAGACTCCAGAGTCTAAGGTCTTCTTTTCAGAATTTAAAAAATTTAATATTTTATGCTCTAAAAAGCAGGTCTACTGTTAGCTTTTCAGCATAGTTCAGATTCCAAAGTCTACTAGACACTTTATATTTTCCCTACTTTTTCTCTTGCATTCCTCTTTCTTTTTAGTTCTTCAGATAGAATAATGGAAAGAACAAAGAAAGCCGTTTAAAGTCTAAGTTAATTTGTTTGATTCCTTAATAGCCTTATTGAACATTCAGTTGCAGATCATTATGTGCACTAATTAGTCATGGATATTATTTAGGATGTCTACATATATAATTTCTGTTTTGCGGGTGAGGCTCACGCCTCAGGGCTTGTTTATGCCTTTTTGAACCTTAGGCGCTACCTCTATCCTAAGAAATAGTCATATTTGACCAAGGTACAAGTTTAAATTTCGGTAAGGTACAAGTTTTATGACACTAGTCATACCTTAAAAACTTAGGTTGGTTTAACTTAGTTCAGTATCACTGTGTTGAATTAATAAATAAGTCATTTTTAGGGCAGAGGTAGTATCACATTTAATGTTATCTAATCATTTCTCTTAACCCTACCAAAAAAAGGTATCCTGGACTGGAAGAGGAAGACATTGCAGAGATTTGCCCTTTTTGTCGTGGAAATTGCAATTGTAACAACTGTTTACACTTGAGTGGCTTCATCAGGGTACAAGTCTTCCTTTGATCAGATTAAATTGACTTTTCTTATATGTCTTCTGACTATTTGTACTGTACATACAGACATCAAGAAGAAGTCTCACCGGTGCTGAAAAGCTCCAACATCTCTGCTATTTGGTTGATAAACTTCTTCCCTTCCTCGTACAAATCCGTAGAGAACAGGATCTGGAGATAGAGATAGAATCTCTTATCCAAGGTGTCCATCCATCTCTAATTGAGGTCAAACAGTCAACATTTTACAAAGACGAGAGAGTGTACTGGTGAGTTTTTGTTTTGTTTTGTTTTGTTTTGTTTTGTTTTGTTTTGTTTTGTTTTGTTTTGTTTTGTTTTGTTTTGTTTTGTTTTGTGAAAATGATAATAAATTCTATTTTAAATAACATTTTTTTCCTTTATCAGTAATCAGTGTTCAACTTCAATAGTGGATCTTCATCGATGCTGCCCGGGCTGTTCCTTTGAGCTATGTCTGCGTTGTTGTGATGAAATTCGAAATGGGAAGTTTCCAGGGTGTCCTGTAAGAGAAATTGTCAAATATAAAGATAAAGGATATGAATATATGCACGGTGGTGAGCCACAACCAGAAGCTACTAATGATGTAGAGAAGTCATTGTTAGATAATTATAATGAAACACCAATGACTGAATGGGCTGTCAAAGGTGATCGCAATATAAGCTGTGCTCCTAAAGAAATGGGTGGATGTGGAAGTGGTGTGTTGGAGCTCAAGCGTCTCCTTCCAACAGATTGGATCTTCAATTTGGAAGCAAAAGCAAAAAGTGCTTTGAGTAAATGCGGAAGGCGTGTCTTGCAGACAACTGCCATTAATAAAACTAACCCTGAGAAGTTGCGCAGAGCAGCAGACAGAGAAGGTTCGAATGACAACTACTTGTATTGCCCAACTGGTAGGGATGCTATGGACGAGGAAGAGTTTCACCAGTTTAGGAGTCATTGGGGTAGGGGTGAACCTGTGATTGTTACAGGTGTCCTTGAGCAGACAGTTGGATTAAGTTGGGAACCAATGGTAATGTGGCGAGCATTATGTGAGAACAGAAATCCAAAAAGCATCAGTTCAATTATGTCAGAAGTGAAAGCTATTGATTGCTTGGCTGGGTGTGAGGTAAACTTAGTTTGAATTTTACTAGCAAATATAATCGTAAAAGATGTGCCAAAAGGGGGATTTTGCCTGCATAACTAAGGGATCTCCTCACAGCCAGATCCCATGAATACAACCATTTTATGGATAAAATAAATTGTTTAAGCTTCTGTAAAAACAGTATGCATGCTGGATCTGGGCAGGTTAAGCGTGTTTGAGGCAACACCTCCCTTTTTCACGTATTTTTACTCTAGTATCTTTTACACACTCGCGTGTGTACACATACATAAATACACACACGCGTACACATATATAATGCATGGTGTGTGTATATGTATGTGTGCGCGTGCATATATAGGGTGCGGTTCCAGTAAAAAGTGATGTTCCCGTGCAAAGTGCAACGATTGCACTAATTGTTATGCACGGTGCACTTTTAGCTTCAAACGATGCACACTTTTAGAAATGACGGAAATTTTTGACGTAATTACGAATATGCCACCACGCTTTTGATCATTTTTAATGCATTGTTGACATATTTAGAGTCATTTGATCATAAACTGGATACATCTGATCTATTCATACTTTTCATGTGAAGTGCACTTTTTATTTGAACTCATCCCTATATAAAGAGAGAGTCTTTGATCAAATAAAAAAGGTTCTTCCTATGAAAAGTAAGAATAAATCTGGAACATCGAATCATTATCTATTGGCTCTAAATATGTTAAAACTGCATAAAAGTGGATGAAAAACGCAGTGACATTTTCGTAAAAATCGAAGTTTTTCTTCATTACAGAAATGAATGCAATATTAATAGTGTACCGTATATAACTAAAAGTGGATAGTGAAAATTATCCGAATGCAATAGTGCACCTCAAATGCTTAAAAGTGTACTCATTCTCACTTTGTATGGAAGATCACTTTCTATTGGAACCGGACCTTATATATATGTATATGTATATGGAGAAAACTTCATGTTCAATAGTCTAGAGGCTTAATATCCAGAAGAAATGAACAGTCCATTGGATCTAATGAACGATTCGTTTAAAAAAGTAATTGGGAGTGGATTGAATTGTTTTGAGTCTGATGTCTTCTCTCTCCGGGCTTCCTTTTCCTTACTTCCCCTCCCCTTACACCATTGTGCCTCTTTTCGTTTACGCTTGCTTCTTTTCTTTCATTCTTTTTCCCTCTCATAGCATACCTCTTTTCCCCCTTTTCGGACCTTTGTCCAGAGCACACAGAATCACTTTTTTTGTTTCCTTTGAGCAAGTTTTGGCAGCAACTCTTTTCCCTCTCCTTTGAGAACACGGATCACTTTTTTTGTTTTCTTTGAGCAATGTTTTGTCAGCTAGTGTTTTGTAAATCCTTTTTATCTGATCTAGATGATCACTTTTTTGATATTTTGTAAGGATTAATGACTAATAACCTGGAATAAAAGACATGCCTAAATTATGAACTTATAAGAATGCCTTTAGGATCTACTCTCTCTGGCCTATTTTGATTTTTGGTCGTCTTGCTTTGCTTTTTGGATTGTCCCAAAATGAATGTTCTGTTTCCTTTTTGGCAAAAATATGTGGTCCATATAATTTCACTTTATTCTACTCAAACCTCAACTACAACTTTTACTTTTCAACCACTTCATTAATACTTGAACCAAACTAAACAAGACATCCAATATAGGACGGAGGTAGTACTTTATCTCCCCAGAGTCTCAAAACACAATCTTTGAACCAAGTAGCCATATACTTGACTCATTCATCTGAGTAGGAGAGGAAAATAAAACTGCTGAACAATTAAAAGGAGAAAGATATTGCGTGAAAGGGAGACTAAAAGAAAAAGGAGAAATTAAAGAGATAAATGAAAATTCAGAACAATAAAAATAGAAAAAAGGGAAAATTAAAGTTACTCTCTAATTTTTATTTCTTCTGGATTGTAAAGAACCAGACTACCAGACATGAAAGGGACTGTATATGTGTGTGTACATATATATGTGTGTGTGTGTGTGTGTGTGTTTACACACACACAGGGAAGGGTTTATATGGGAGCTTCTGTTAGAATAAGAACTTATTTGGAGATTTTTTTTATCTCAAATTTTTATAGTTTTTTGTCAATAGCTAAAAATATAAAAGAGTCATTGATGTAATTATTTTAGATTCAAATGCATACTTTTTTACAATTATTTGTAAATAATTATAGAAATTTCACTTTATCAATATTGGCCATTAATTTGATATGTAAGGTGAAGAATAGATGGTTCTCCATTCAAAATGTATTCTGATTGTGAGAGGGATACTCATAAAACCCTTTCCTACACACACCTATAATATATGAAGCCATGAAGGTTCATACATGAGACTTCATCTAATCATTAAAGTATATGTGTAATCAGGAACCATTAATCGTTGTCACATTTCATGTTATTCATCAATAACTAATATTAATGACATGACATTTTGTTATTTTTTAGAAAGAAAAACCCCTTGTTTGGATTCGTAAAATTGCCACCTTATGGGTGCTTTCCAGTGAGTGAAAAAAGTGAATGGTTAAGTTAAAAATTTCACATAATAAGCCATGGAGTGCTAGCTACCTTAGAGTCCTAGCAAGTGGTATTCTCTTCACTTTATATTTTGTTTGCTATGTAAACAGAGTATTGTATATTTTAGGGAAATTCATTTTAAATAATACAAACTATCTTCCGTAAACCAAGAATAGTACGTACTTCGAGATTAACTTTAATAATATCAACTATTTGAATATTTATCAAAAGTGATATAGAGCCATTTTTCAAAAAAAAAAATTAGTCGTTTAACTCATCAAAAACTATTATCAAAATATCAAATAAGTGATTGTATTTCCAAATATCATTTATTTGATGCCTTAAGTGACTGAATTTCTTATTGAAAAATGGCTCTATATTATTTTTGTTCTATATTCAAATAGTTGGTATTATTAGAAATCATTTTCAAAGTATATATTATTATTATTGATTTATGAGTGATAGTTGGTATTATTTAAAATTATTTCCCTTTATTTTAATCAAATAAATCAATGATTAGAACACTAATAAGATGGTGCCTCAATGATCGATATTGCCACTAATAGTTAGCCCCGATTACCTAATTTTTTTATTTATTTAAATGTACTCTATGTCAATTACCAAAAGGGGAAGCAAAAATCACATGACAAATTTACTCTTTAATTTTTCTTGGGAAAACTGTCATATAAGTCCTTGTACTTTTACGAAAAGTCAATTGAGTCCTCATACTTAATCAATTAAGTCCTCGAAGTGCTGAAAATGGTCAATAAGCTATTTTGCAGGTGAGCAGACGGTAAACCGGTCACCAGCCTACGTGGGTCTCTAGCTGTCCCTTGTTTTACTGTTTCCCAACTTTTTCATAATTTTTATTTTCTTTTTACTTTTGTTCTCTTTCTTCTTCCGTTCTCTTTCTTCTTTCTCCGATGGAGTCCGCACTCCTTTGTCTCCCTTCAAGCCCGCAGCTCCACACTCATTTATTTTGATTTTCCATGACTAGTGTTGGCAAGTGCTTGTTTATATGGAGCTTCCTTCCTTCTCACTATATACGTCTTCTCTTCGGCGGCCCTGACAAACAGATCTCTTGAGAGATTCCTTCCCCCTTCCAATAAATCTCTGGGAAGTCAAATAGTCACAAATGGATGAAGTTGCTTCATTTTCGAATTATCAAGAACTTCAGATCGTAAATTTTTCGCTTTAACCCTTGCCCAGAACCTGGCGTTGCCGTCATTGATCCGCCGTGTCTGTAACTCTGTCGTTCAGCTTGACGGAGAACCGCTGCAAGCTTCTCTATCTCGGACTTTAGCTTTGCGCACTCGCCGGCTAGAGCTTTGGTAATTTTGTCTGTCAAGTCGCTGACTGGATAGGTTCGGCAAGAATCTGCTTCACTTTGGCCGCCAATTACCAAGCCTCAAATAGATAAAAGAAGCCGAATAGTTTAAGAGAGAAACGAGAAAAAAAAGGGAAGAAAGAAAGAAACAGAGAAGGAAAAAGGAAAAAAAAACAGAAACGTAGACATCCGCATGTGCTGGTAACCTGGTTACCGGCTAGTGACCCCTAAAACAGCTTAATTGGTTGTATTTTGATACTTGGGAGACTGAATTGATTCATTTTGAAGTACGAGGACTCAATTGACTTTTTTGATAAAGTACAGGAACTAATTTGACAGTTTTCCCATTTTTCTTTGTAAATTTCATTGTTACAAGGGAAAATGGTCAAATAGACCCTTCTACTAATAATTGATCTATTTAGCTATTCAATCAGCTTTTGACATGTAATGGTAGGTTTTTAATATTAAAAAAACTCTAAAAATTGTAAAAATTCAAAGAAATCTTGATAAATATTGTGAAAATTTAGTGTCAAAATTACTAACTTGCATTTTTAAAATTATTTGTATATTTTACATATGTTTAAAAGGTTTTTACATTTTTTATTTTATATTTATCACATTTTCACTATATTTTTCATTTTACTAATTCTAATTTATTTACTTTAACGTTTTTTATTGTTTATCTTTGTGCTTTAATACAGGGGAAAGACTGCGTACATCCGACCCCCCCTTACCCCACCGTAGGTGGGGAGCCTTTGCGGGACTGGGGTAAACGAAAATGAAATGAAATGTTCTCTTTTTGCATTTATACTATTTTTTTGTATTCTTATTAGATTATTATTTATACTTTTCAAATTTATTTGAATATTTACAAAATTTATCAATTGTCCTTATTTATTTTTAAAAAAATAACTGTTATAGCAGATCAAAATGTCTTGATTGATTTGTTTTTAAAGTTCATCCCGTTAATATTGTTCCAGTTTACCTTTTTGGAAAATCCCACTGAGATTATACCAAATTTGATAAAGTTTGTGTGGATCTAAAGCATTCTTACTTTATCAATTCAATATCAATCACATTAATCCACTTTTCTTAATAATCATGTCATCTCTTATTGTCTCAATGTTAGTGGGCGAAGATAGTATATTTTTTAGTATAGGGGTTGAAGTGATAGATTAAAAATAGTATAATGTTTATTTGATCCTTTTTCCATATTCTAGTATCGTGAGGCAATGCCCTCATCCATTGTTGGAGATGTTGCACATGAACAAGGATGCCAACTGCACCCCATAGTCACCGAAGGTGCTACATTGTTGGAGTACTATCGTTGTCATGTCTTGCCAAAGAGATGGGCATGTCTCAAATAGTGACTATCAATTCGAAGAGCTTGACAAGTTAAAATACTACCTCTGTCCCATAAAACTTGCCCAACTTCCTTTTTTGCCGTTTTAAAAGACTATCATTTCCATTTGAAGTAAATAATGTGTGGTTAAAGTCTCATCAGAATGAATTTTAACCACACAGTTTTTACTTTATCATTCTACGTTCAACTCAACTTTGATTAAGTTTTATGGGACAGAGTATGTGACAAAAGAAGAAAAATTGATCAAAACAGCCATAGTGAAGACTAGAGGCAATCTAGTGAGCGGGTTGAGAACGACGAGAGTAAGAATCCAACCCTACATAGAGTACATACAATGACCAAAAGTCGAGATCAAGTTGTTGAGAGTTTTTTCCACTTTTAGTCTTTCGATTATTATGTCACTGACACTTTTGGTACTCGACTTTGATTTTTTTCACCTTTAGTCCTCAACTATTATACTAGAGACACTTTTGGTACCCATCTTTGAAAATTTCCATTTATAGTCTTTCGACTTACATAAAAGTGACACTTTTGGTCCCCCAACTATTATAATAGTGACATTTTTAGTCCGTCACTTATTGTGTCAAAATCATAGTAGAAGGACTAAAAGTGTCAATTTGATAATATCAAAGGACTAAATGTGGAACATTTTGAAGTCGAGGACTAAAAGTGTCTCTAACACAATAGTTGAGGACTAAAAATGGAAAAATTAAAAGTCGAGTACCAAAAGTGTCACTGACACAATAGTCGAGTGACCGAAAATGGGAAAAAATCAGTTGTTGACAACAAAAGTATGGATTCAATTCATGGACATAAAAAGCTTGGCAAAAAATTCAAGTGAAAGTGTCGAGAACAACCAAAGTTGTCACACTTGTTTGCCGAAAATGTAAAGACTTGCAGTGATCCTATATAAAATGAAAATATCATCATCATCACCCCAGTGCCGCAAAGGCTCCCCACCTACAGTGGGATGAGGGGAGTCGGATGTACGCAACCTTACTTCTGTATTGAAGCACAAAGAGACTGTTTCCAGATGACTCATGGTATATAAATTGAAAAGATATATCAATAAAATAACTAAGCTTCCATTCCAATGTTGGCGAAGTCGTGGCAAGAAGCTTAACGAGAGTGGTGGCTCGAAACAAGGACGTGTTTATTGGACTAAATTTGGTTGGATTAGTTTCATCTTATTACAACTCTAGTATAATATGTAAAAAAAAATGTAAATTTCATTATTATCTCTTGCTAGATGGTCTATTAAAATTTGTCTAATTTGGTATGTTTAAGTTTAGCTTTTCTTATAGTTTGATCTGGTCTATGACTAAAATATTTCTAAGAGAACAAGTCCTGAATTACAAAATGACATTTTGCACTTCGTAGATTTCTTCTGACCTTGGTAACATAGTCAATTAAATACAATGCGGAAAGTGAGGAGAAGAGATGAAGGTTATAAAGTAGTTGTGAAAAAGGACAAGAGACGAGGAAGAAGTGCGAATAAGAAGGAAGATGCATTCACTCATATCTTCGAGATTTTATGTGCGTGTAAACTTTCTTTCTAAAAGAATGGATCTAGCCTGTTATTCATAACTGGTAGGATTTGATTTGCAAAATTTCCTGTTTTGGTTGTTCCTAAATAATTTTTCACTTTCCATTTGATTTGCCAAACTTTATTTATTACCTTCTTTAATTCTTGTGTCAGTCAATTTTTGCAAATCAAATTGGGATGGAGAGAGTAATATTTTCAACTCCTTGCTATACAGGTTCCAGTTTAGACCGTGGAAATTGATTGATGTGTTTCAATCAGGCTCCGAGTAAAAAGCGATTGTTCTCGATCTGGCCTGAGATTGAGAGTCGACATTGTCTTAATTAAAGGAACTGAAACTAGTTTGGAATTTGGATCAGTACAACAATAACAACATCCAAGCCTTAGTCCCAAAAGATATTGGGGTTGGCTAACATAAATCGATACATGATATCACCAAAAGGAAAAGAAAGAAAATAAAGATAAAAGGTAAGCTATTATAAAAAGATACTCCCTCCGTCTCCCTTATATTGTCCCGTTTTACCTTTTCGTGAAGTCCCACTAATATTGTCCCTGGTAAAGTTTGTGCGGCTCAAAATCATTCTTACTTGAAAACTCCTACTTGCTACAATGATTGGAGGGTTTGTGTGCAAGAACAATAACCACTCCAACAAGGAAGCACAAATTCATGTATATATCAGAGCTATAGAGCTTTGATTGTATATGTTGAAAATCCAATTCCGCCTTTAGGACAGATAGGGGATGAAATGGCCATTATATATTTTAACAGAAAAGGATGACATTGTATGCATGAGTCCTCCAGAACCAATCAAATGGAGAATGTAGGTTGAGCTTTGATCGTACTTTAATATAAAGAAAATGTTGTTACATCTCAACTCATTGCTTGAAGTTAAATTCGGGATCTCTCTTGTGACACTTCCATCCTACCAGGTGAGCTACGCCCCCCAGTTTGTTAAATTTTAGCAATGTCATGTTGCAAGTTGGAAAAAAGACGTATAAGTTTCTTCCTTCAAATCTACCCTTATATCATTTGTCCAACATTAACGTTTTGGAATTTCACAATTGGGCCACTATGTTTTTAATCTTCTAAAAACATAGTCAATTATGTCAATATAGGATATCATTTTTAATCCCATCTCTAATTGGAAAACCCATAATTGCTTCAACATTGATAACTTTTGTCGTGCGAGAATAGCAATTACTCCGATAAAGTTACACAATTTCATGTTTCAATTGGAGTTTTATATTCTCTAGATTGCATATGTTTTAATCTTGCCCATCATTGAAAATCCAAGTTCACCGTTTGGAACAAGTAAGGGGTGAAATGGCCATTGTTGGTGTGCGAGAATAGCAATTACTCCGAAAAAGTAACACAATTTCATGTTTCAATCAAAGTTCTATATTCTCTAGATTGCATATGTTTTAATCTTGCCCATCAATGAAAATCGAAGTTCACCATTTGGAAAAAGTAGGGGGTGAAATGGCCATTGTTAGTGAATAATGTCATGCATGTGCGGAAAACTCTTAATTCCTTCAATGGTTAGAGGGTTAAGTTCACATTGATAGCTGTGTGTAGTTGTGCAAGAATGCGACTCTGATAAGACACAAATTCATGTATCTATCAGAGCTCTAGATTCTCTAAACTACCTATGTTTTAATTTTGCCCCTCATTTAAAATCCAGGTTGGTCACTTGGAGCAAGTAGGGTGTGAAATGACAAATGTTAAATTTTTGCGAACAATGTTATGCATTATGCATGAAAATGTTATGACAACCCCTTAATTGCTTCAATGATTAAAGGGTTTACTCAATCTCAATTAAACTTTTTCGGCATTGATAACTTTGGGTTGTGCGAGAATAGCAGTTACTCCGATAAGGTAACACACATTCATGTATCTATCAGAGCTCTAGATTCTTTGGACTGTACATGTTTTAATATTGTCCCTCGCTAAAAATCCAGGTTTGCTGCTTGGATCAAATAGGGGGTGAAATGGCCATTGTCAAATTTTAGTGAATAATGTCATGCATGTGTCAAGAGATAGTTTGGGAAAAAGTTGGATAAGCTTTTTCCTTTAAATTTATACGTATATCATTCACCAATAATTATGCTAATAAGGTAATCACGTTTTGGAATTTCATAATTAGAGTAATTACTATCATGCTTGAAAAATACTACTACCATATGTGAATATTGTAATCACAAAATACAATCATAAATATCTTTTATGGCTGCTTACCATGATCAAGGTATGCGTATGAATAGGGAGCCCCCCACCCCAACTTTTTTTAATTTTTGTTGTAGTAATATTGGTTGGATATGAAATAATCAGAGAAGATTGAGTCATAACTATCTAATAGAAGTCTCCATTTAATTATTTTGTGGAAATCAATTAAATAAATTATGAAAAAACACTGTGTTATATATATATATATATATATATATATATATATATATATATATACACAAATGATCCTGTCCAGACGTCCGGACAGGAACCGCCGTCCGGCCGGCGGCGTTTGGCCGCCTTCCCGGTGGAATTTTTTGATGAAATTTTTATGGCATGTTCTCCATCAAGTCTAGTTTATCCACAAAAAAATTCAGCCAAAAACTCAATCGGGAAGGTCATCAAATGATTTTTGCAAGTTAACTGGTCCGGAATATGTATTTTCCGGACCAGTTAACTTGCAAAAATCATTTGACGACCTTCCCGATTGAGTTTTTGGCTGAATTTTTTTGTGGATAAACTAGACTTGATGGAGAACATGCCATAAAAATTTCATCAAAAAATTCCACCGGGAAGGCGGCCAAACGCCGCCGGCCGGACGGCGGTTCCTGTCCGGACGTCTGGACAGGATCAGGACTCTATATATATATATATATATATATACGGAAAAGATCCTGTCCAGCCGGAGGGACAGGATCCTCCGTCCGGCCGCCGCCGTTTAGGGCGGTTCCCGGTGGAGTTTTTCGATGAAATTTTTATGGAATGTTCCTCATCAAGTCTAGTTTATCCACAAAAAATTTCAGCTAAAAATTCGATCGGGAAGACAGTCAAATAATTTTTTGAAACATAACTGCGTTTTATATGTTTAAGTTGGAGCAGTTATCTTCAAAATATTATTTGACTGCCTTCCCGATCGAATTTTTAGCTGAAATTTTTTGTGGATAAACTAGACTTGATGAGGAACATTCCATAAAAATTTCATCAAAAAACTCCACCGGGAACCGCCCCAAACGGCGGCGGCCGGACGGAAGATCCTGTCCCTCCGGCTGGACAGGATCATTCCTCTATATATATATATATATATATATATATATATATATATATATTTGTTTTCATATTTAAATTTCAGATTAAATTTCAATTGGGAAGTCAATTTAACTGACTTGCCAATTAACTTTTAAATTGAAATTGAAAATTAGTGTAAATAACTACACACCATGAAAAATAGGCATTCGGAAAGCATCTCAAACATAGTCAGGTAGTTTTTACAAGATCATTCATTAAATATTTTCATATATATGATTAAAAACATGACAAAATATGTTTTACTCCTCAAATAGAACTTAATTACTTTTATTAAGTTTAAAATTTGCCAAAATATTAGTAATAAGTCCTAATTTGAGACTTTTTTTGTTTAGTCTCAAATTAGGACTTATTGAGATTTAACTTTTACAAGACTTTTTTTTTTTGAAAATTTATTCTTATGAAATTTAACTTTAATTTTTTAACAAAGGTAGTATGATTTTTAGGGTTTAGTGGCTTAAATTTTAAGTCATACGATACTTAATGTAGCAAGACAAAAATATTTAAGGCAAAAAAATAGTTGGACTAATGATTGATGTAGAAAAAGTATAAAAGTCGATTGAAAATATAAATGAAAAGATAAATAAATTAATTGACCAAAAAAAGAGAATGTAGCAAAATTTAAAAACGATATAACAGAGTATAAAAAAGTAGGTCAAAACTCAAAAGTTTTGACATTTCAAATATGACAAAGAATAAAAGGCAAAAGAATAATTCCTAAAAAGAAGTATTTTAATCACTTTGACATTTCAAATATGACAATGAATAAAAGGCAAAAGAATAATTCCTAGTATTTGCATCCCGAATTGAATTTTGCAATTTGTGGTTTTTAACTTTGTGAAAGTTAAATTAGTTTTAATAATTAACATTTATATATTCTAAAGAAGTAAAGTAAATGAAGTAAAATTGTGTTGATTAAGATATGGAAACCAGGGCTGAATTAGTACTCTTGATACATAGAAATTTAAGTACAATTATTATGTTAAATAATAATTCTATGTATTTTAAGTAAAGAATTTATAAATTATTAAATTTGTTACTTCTTTCTTCAGGTTCAGATTAATACACGGAAATTTTTCAAAGGATATACTGATGGGAGAACATATGAAAACTTCTGGCCAGAGATGCTAAAATTGAAGGATTGGCCACCTTCTGACAAGTTTGAGGACCTCTTACCACGCCATTGTGATGAGTTTATCAGTGCACTGCCTTTTCAGGAGTACACTGATCCAAGGGCTGGGATCCTCAATCTTGGAGTCAAGTTGCCACCTGGTTTCATTAAACCTGATTTAGGTCCAAAAACTTACATAGCATATGGTGTCGCAGATGAGCTTGGGAGAGGAGACTCTGTAACTAAGCTTCATTGTGACATGTCTGATGCAGTATGACCTTCTTTACCATATTTTTGGATATTTGTTTGTTATTCTTTTTCCTTTTTTATTATAAAAAGAATATCAATATCTTCAGATAAATATTTTGACGCACACAACAGAAGTACCTTCAAGTCAGGAACAAAGATCTGCAATTCAAAAGTTGAAGGAAAGACACAAAGCTCAAGATGAAAGAGAGGGCCTTGTAAAAGGTGATTTTATTTCACTTAGTGATGAATGTCGAAGATTATCATCCTCAAGTCTTTTTGAAATTGAGGAACCTAGAGATGTTGGTGGAAGTGCACTTTGGGATATATTTAGAAGAGAGGATGTACCTAAATTGAATGAGTATCTTGTGAAGCATTCAAAAGAGTTTAGACACACTTATTGTAATTCAGTGGAAAAGGTAAAAAACCAAAAGTGCAAACCTTTGTACCATGAATGCCCACCAATCAAAATTCTTTCTAATATCTTTCTCTCTTACTCCAAACAGGTTTTTCATCCCATTCATGATCAAAGCTTCTATTTAACTTTAGAGCACAAGAGAAAACTAAAGGAAGAATATGGTTTGTAGCATCAGTTCTCTACTCATTGAATTAAAATATTCCTATTTTAATGTACATGTTTGTGTAGGAATAGAGGCCTGGACATTTGAACAGAGACTTGGAGAGGCTGTTTTCATCCCTGCAGGTTGTCCTCATCAAGTAAGAAATCTTAAAGTAAGTGCACTTACCCAGTTACGTCCCTGCTCTCTTCTAGTTGATCCAGTTAGCTTTGTATAAATTATGATTGATGATGATTTTGTCTATTTTGTGGCCCAGTCGTGCACAAAAGTTGCAGCGGACTTTATCTCTCCAGAAAACATTGAGGAGTGCATTCGACTAACAGAAGAGTTCAGGAAACTGCCAAATAACCACAAAAGCAGAGAAGACAAGCTTGAGGTACCTTACCCATCTTCTACCTCTTCTATCCTAGGAATTGGTTCTGGGGAAAAATGTTCCCTTTTTATTCTTTTTGGAGTATTATCCTTTTACTCCCATTTTAACAGATAAAGAAAATGGTCCTGCATGCCATCAACCAAGCAGTTCAAGATTTGGAAAGCTTGACATCTGTCAAGGAAATTTGAATATCACTCGTAAAGCTGTAGTAGAAAGAGAGAGTAATGTGTGAATTTTCTGTAAAAGAGAGTAATGTGTGAAAAAGAGAGTATTGTTATGATTTTTTTTTTCTCTGGAGATATTTCCTTGAATCTTATAATTATATACTTGTAATTGAAAGTGTTTCTAATCGTAAGAAGATTATATTTCTTAGTTATTGGTATCCAACTTTCTATCTTTTCTGATTTAGGGTCTGTTTGCAACAGTTTCTGCTTTTAAAAATTTTTACGCGGAAGCCGAGAAAATTAAAAGTTGTAGTGTTTGGGAAAACAAGTGTTTTTTTAAAGCCAAAAGCTGAGAAGTGCTTTCTTAAAAGCAGTTGCAAACCAACCCTTACTATCTACTGTTTTCACCTTTTATGACAAAGGCCATTTTCACTTTGCACATTTTTTAGGTTTAGAGAACTTGAAAACAAGCATTTTTCTGATTTGTTATTTTTGAAAAACATGTGAAAGAATTATGTTTTCTGCTTTCCAGTTTTTTTAGTATACAAAAACAAACCTTCATTTTTCCACAAGCAATCCTACCCGTATGCACTTGACATGCGTGAAGAACAAATGATGATTTTCACATGTACTTTATAAAGATAAAAGATGAAAAAATCTACTCCGTATTATTTTGGACGACATAGATACAACATCACGATTCATGACAAGTAATAGTGCATTGTAGCATAGAATAAAACCTAATACTTACAAATATCATCTTTTATTTGTGAAATATATTATGAATTTAGTTCTTGTAATCTTTTTGTTTCAGGCGTTAATATTGTAGCAAACTATGTTAAAAGCTTTATAAGTTAATTGAGGTTTTTTCTTAACTATGAATATAAGAGTCCGTTTGGTAGCACGAAAACCGGTTGATTTGGCTGATTCTGCTGAAGTGGCTGCATTGGATGATTATGTTGATTTACGAAAAAATTATTTTTAAAATATATTTTATTAATATAACAAAGAAAAATTATGTGTAAAAATAGTTAAAATGATCATGTACAGTAACTTCAGCCAATACAGCCAGAAAAGTAACTACAACCTTACTTTTCTGCTTATTACACAATTCAGCGCGCGTAAACAAAAATTATGTGTTTGGTGAAAAAATTGGCTGATAAGCCTGATTAGCCGAAAAAGAGTATTGCCAAATGGTCTCTAAGTTATGGGAGAAAATGTAAATGAAGTTAGTATAATTATACCATGACATCAAGTACAGTAAAAAATGCCTAATCAATTAAATATGAAATCCCATTTGTATTCATTATCTTCATGTTAGTCATATACTTTTCATTATTTGAAGGAATCATAAATTGTGTAACATGTTGCAAATACTATTCCTTTTTATCCCAATATGTTACTCTCTCGATTCCTTAAAACTTAATCAAGTTCGATCGATACAGAATTAATAAAGTAAAAATTGTGGTTAAAATTTGTGTAAAAAAGAAAGAATTAATTAGAACCACATATTCTATACTTAAAAAGGAAACTAAAAAAATTAATAACAATCAAAAAAAGAAAGTTAGACAAAAAAAATGGAACAAAAGTTAGACAAAATTTTAAAAGACAGAAGGAGTATAGAATACAATAAAATCCCTATTGTTTTTTTTGTTATACAATCCCTATTGTCATGGGCATAGCTAGGGGGCAACCTAGGGCCCGGCCCACACCAATTCTCAA